TTGATTCTAATTTGATGAAAATTTGGATATACGCATGTGCTGTTCAACAAAGTTTAAAAGCGTGTACCTGAGAGAGGCAGATGGAGAGCTATTAGAGCTTTGGGCTAATTGTTGGAAGAGAGGATAAAGTGTGAGAGTCCAAATGTGCGTGTACGCATGTGCGTGCGCGCGCTAGCGACTACAATTGTGTTTTTTTGACTTTCTGCTGATCGTGGCTACACCGCCTCTTCTGTAAAGGCTTCAAATTATTTAAAAAACTTTTTTAAATTTAAAAACAGAACAGAGAATTTGTCCCGATGCTATTAATTTTATTTAGCTGCTGATTAAAGTATTTTATCTATGAAGGTATGAAACTATAATAACACACACAGCTCCATTCACTATTCACATAGCCTCGTTCACTCAGGCTATGTTTTTGCCATTCATAAGTGCTTTATATCTTACAATCATACTCCGTTGGATGCATCGAAGAGCAGCTTGGGGTTAATATTTGACATGCAGACTGTATGCCAAATATCCACCAAGCCTGTGATTAGTAGATGACCTTCTTTACCTCCCGAGCTGCCCCCCCCCAATTTATATAATCGGCATTAGCATCACACTGGGGAAGTATTCCGCTTCACCAGATACATTCAGATTATGGACTTTTTAAATTGAACATTACTGTAAATGAGCCCCCGAATTTTTTAACTTTTTAAAAATTTTCAACTAGTGTCCAGTTTTAATTATGACCTATATATCTTTATCAAAATACACTAAAGGCCAAGGCTGTGGGACCTAGAGGTGCTGGGGGTCGAAAAAGGCAGACCTCGTAAATAAATAAAGGTTTAAACACTTAGTGCTAATTGTGTCATTTTTGGAATTGTCTTAAATTAGTTACACTCCCCCTCCGCCCCTGACAAAATGACGTTACATACTAGTGAGAGGTAGAAGTGGTGGATTAAAATGTCTGTGAGTTAAATGTCCTCACAGATATCACAGATACACGTCGGAACAGCAAGTCACATTTGGACCATTGTGACCTGCACCCAGATGAAGGTAACGCTTTGGTTTATTATGATGCGCCGTTTGACTTTATAATTATTCAGTAATTTCACAGTCCTGCCTTTGTTGCAGAAGGGTAGGCTACTTCACAATCCGTATAAATTTTGCATTAGGGCCGAGTATGAAAATATCCATATTTGGAAAGGTTCTGGTCAGCTATGCGAAAATAGGTTATTTTATATATATGTATGACTTGTAGCTGACGGACTTGTATACTGCTGTTTGTGCCTGACTTGTGTGTACGCGCGCACGCACGCGCGCACTTGAGCATCTTCAGCTTCAAGTCTTTAGCTCTGCTAAAGACAATCACCAAAATTAACTACTGGGTGATTTCGTCATGTAGCTTATCCAGAGTGTAATGGTTTGCATATATTCGCCTTAAAAACGGAAGGTTTCCGGGACATAATTCCCTCTGGGGTTGTGCAGGGCATCCGGATCGTGCCAAAAACTGATTTCCGGTTTTCATTATTAAAAACAAAAACTTGTCAAACCTATGTCATTAATGATATAAATTAATTTTAAGCCAGAAACGGCATTTCAGTTAGAGGGCAGAAACTGAAATCGGCTTTTGGTAAAATGCCTAGATCCTCCGTGATCCAGGCAAAGGAGCGTCGCTGACATTAAAAAAGGATTTCTTTAGAGTGGTCTGGCCAAAAGTGCAGCAGAAATTGCGACACTTATCCCATAATAGTTCTATAAAGATATTTTATTAAGTATCCAAAAATGACTGGATTGTTTCTAATATAGGTACAGTAACACAGAGTCATAAATGTACTTGTATTTCTTTATTTTACATATAACAATATAATAATATTGACTATGAACCAACATAAGCAAATACATTTCACATAAAGAAAAAACAATAAAATTCGCAGTCAATTTTTGGCAGATGATCACTCTTTGGACAAAAAAAGGAAAAATTAAATTAAAAAAATCTGCAAAAAAAAGTCCGCGTGTGTGTGTGTGTGTGTGTGTGTGTGTGTGTGTGTGTGTGTGTGTGTGTGTGTGTG